CCTTATATTTAGTTTATCTTGTAGTGCATTCTCTTATATTTTTCTTCTTAACTCAAACTTCTTTCCCAACTTGTGGTTCTTGAAACCATATGGAGCCTGTAAATAGGAATTTTTGTTAAATAGATGTGTCCTTTAGTTATATGTTTCTTGCCCTATAACATTTCATGGAGTTGATGTCTTTCTTTCTCTCTTTAGAAAGCTGAAAACTAGATGAAAATGGCAACTTTGTCAATGGCGCTGTAATTGCTAAATAGTTTTCTAGTGCCATTAGTTAGATGTTGGCCTATCTGAGAGTCGAACAAGTTATTCCCTGATAGCGAGACATTCTTTGGATAGAGCATATTTTCTCTTCTCTTTCATGTATTTCCACTACTGATATGCTATGCACAATGAGGATATCTAATAAAGTCAAAGATAACGGACCGACAATGTCATGTAAGATTGAATGTTGGGCCTTTAAGGCCCAAAATATTCTAAAGACGAGTGTTCAGTAGTTTTGATGTTAAGATGAATGCATGTAGGTAAAAGTTTACAAGATTAAAAATGATCACATCCTATGTAAGTGCAAGTAATGCACTTGATTATTCAGATATCCAAATGCACCATCAGGGTGTGTGCACTTGATTATTCAGGTGTTAAAGCAGACTTATCATATTTGACATTACATGGGGGGATACAATTTCTGAGAAGCAATACAAACTTAACCAAGTTTAGAATGCAAATGATCCATATCAGTGATGCAATTAGTTGGGATCAAGTTTAGTTGTTTCATATACATCTGGTGTTTATCATGACTCCTGAGTTTTCCTTGTTAAGAGACTTTATGTCAGTGTATTGGCATGATATATGCCCAAATAGAGTGGAATGGATATTGAAAAATTCCTTACAGTCAACTCCAACTAGTTTGAATTTGAGGACATTTGATTGATTGATTTTGATTTCATGATGTAATAATAAACTTACTCTGTGATACCAGGGAGTATACTTTGGAAAGGATGTTTTCACGTCAATTGCTTGAAGCTGCACAAGACGAATTAACATTTCGGACTGTTGTCAGAGATATACACACCAAACGTGCACTTTCACAAATTGTTCTCCTTAACCCAAATGCATGGTGCTACAGTGACTATTGTGTGCATAACATGGAACCAGTTGCCAAGATTAATATGTACCCCGTTGTCAAGCTATTATTCTCTGCAAACATCAATGACACGGAACTTGAACTCAGGTAATTGCCTCTCTACTCTAGCTGTCCTTTTCTTCTGTCATTTGATGCCATCTACACGTATGTATAGGTTATCTTCCTCAATCTCTGCCTTACTACTGGGGAAGTTGTTCAAGCTTTTGAACCTTGCAAGATACGTACTGTTATGTGTGCCAACTAACTTTCAAGAACTGTACTATAAGTCTGTAAGTAGTTGCCATATTGAAGTAAGTTGGCATGAACAACGTATCTAGTCTTGTGAAGATAGAGAGACTGTTCTCAATGGACCCTTGGTTCAAGTAAAACATGTCAAAATAATCAAGTATGTAAAGCAAATACAGGAAGAAGAATCTATAGAAGAGAACAATAAGTTGGCACAAAATACTAAATTATTGTCTTCCTGAGATGATTTTGAAAAAGGTATACATACTGTTGTCACACATTTTAAGTAGCATCAGATGGTTGCTACCAATTTGAAAAGAAATCGTTTATGGACACTTTAAGATGCAATTTTCATTAGAAATCCAACGAAGGTTATAGATAAATCTTGTAGGACTTGTTCAAAGTAACACAATAATTTGTTTATACTTCATCTGTTTCAACATTATCATTTGACACATGTTCCTGGCCACTTTCTTCTCTTATTTCGATTGTGCATTTCACACCAACGACTCCCGTCCTGATCCATTTTCAAAAGCTCGCTGAATCAAACTTTATGCAGGAACGTAGAAGAATGGGTGACCAAAAACCAAGCTGATGAAGTTTTCATGTTGCCATCTCAAGTGAAGGAACTAATTACAAATTTGGAGATGGCAAATACTATGTTACCACCTTCACATATGCTGTTACAGGGGTTCTACATGTCATCCTTGAAGCGATAAATGGTAAGTCGTTTCAATCTCACTCGAAATTATCGAGAATGAGACATTCATCATGTGTACAATACATGTTCCAACATGTTCACAATCATTGTTCGAAAATGGTGATGTCACTAGTTGAACATGTTAACACCCTAGCCCTTACAAGTAGGCTGTAATTTTGATGAATTGAGATGTGAATGTGTATGAATTAACCATGGTTTTAACTCATAGTGCAGCTTATGCAAAAATATATGATACATTCACTAAAGTGGTTTACACACCATGTTAGTTTTTTGTTTTTCTTCCATTGTAGCAATGGCGACTAGTTGCTATTATTGGATTCTTTTAGCAAAGTTTTTTGTTCCATAAGTTGCAGTACAGCTCCTTTACAATTCAAATATATCTGCCCATAGATTTTATTCTATCTTTTTATGAGAGGTCAAAGCTGAAAAGTATTGGTTTATGGAATGGGGAATATTACCAACATTTTTAATCTTTGCACACTAAAATGGCCAGAAAATTAGTAAGGAATTAACACAATCCTCTATCCAAACAAGCCTCTATTGTTTGTTTGTAGTGAAACCTTCGGTCTAAGTAGGGGGTGGTAAAATCAAACCCAACCAACCAATTTGCCTAATCCGTTTAAGTTTGGGCGGTTTGTTGTCTTGCTCATCTATTAGCTCAATTCAGTAAAAGTGGTTCTTTTTTTTGGTTTCCCACTTGGTGTTCGGAACCCACATTGGAACTCTGACTAAATTCAGATCGCACATTACAGGACCTGAATTGACTAATCAAATAATCTTGATAATATTTAATAAGCTTGTTTTTATCAGGTACTAAATAATTTTAAAAAATAAATAAAACAATTAAGTTTATCAAAAGTTGGATTGAGTTGGGTCTTGACACATTATGTAATCCATTACCTAACCCGTTTTGATTTAAGTAAATGTTGATAGGATATAATCTTGACCCGATTATCATCTCAATCCATAATGATTCATCCAAACTTGATCCGAACCGCGAATTGTCACCCTACCATATAAGTGAATAAATGAATGAAGGTAGGATATCCCCCCACCCCCCCTATCCCCCCCCCCTCCCAAAAAAAACTATTTTTTTTTAAATTATCAATTTCATATTTAAACTATACGTAATTTATTTTTTTAAAATAATTCGGATATACACCAAATAAATTAGTGTCAAGTTGAGAACGTCTTGAACTAAATAGATTACTTAACTAGTCGAGATGTGCAAAAACTGATTCGAATATCATGATCATTAAAAAAAAATGAAGTGAATATAATTTTGTGTGTATCCTAGCTGTTAATCCGATGGAACAAGTATCCAAAAACTCTAACGGACCTTAAAATTTGAAAATGTGGATCGAGCTTATTGCATAGAGTCTTTCTGCCACAATTTGATGTGGACCCTTGGACCCCATGAAAAATATAGTACAAATTGATTGGCAAATCTTTAAATATACTTTTGTTGTCGTTGAAAATCTGTCTCCTTCAAAATACCACAAAGTACACATAATTAAGGCCAATGTCTTGTAGATCCTATGAACATATTCCCCTAAATGACATATACATGCATGCATAACATATATAGTCAAATAATTAAACAGTGAAAGAAAAAAAAAAGAAGCATAAATTGCATGAGGAAAAATTAGAGAGGGAAGAATCAAAGAATTAGATTTGTATTCTCACATTGTCAAATGTGTGTATATAAATAGTAGTGTTCTTCCATAGTTTATATAGCTAAAAGTTAAAAAAAAGAAAAAAGATTATATAGAAGCATATGAAGAAATGGTAAAAGAAGAGTGTCTTACATGAAGGGTAAGTGCCTATTTGATAGCCAAGGATGACTTGCCTGCATCATTAATTAATTCTTGAGGCTAGCTTGTGATATATATCATGTATATGACATGTATACAAGCATTCTTCTTTGATGGCCAGGCAGTCTCCTTTGGCTACTCGAATAGGTTCCTCTCATTCATGCTAGACTCTTCTCTTCTTATTTAGCTTCTACTTTAGTCAGAGGTGAATTCAGAATTAAAATTTAATAGGTTTAACTCTTATATATTTATTTTTAATGTATTACACTAGAATTTGTGCTCTTTATTTTATTCTCTACACGGAGGCGTATCTAAAATTTTGAATTGACAAGGTGCATAATGTCACTATTTCATTCATGTTGCAAAATCAAGAGTGTATTTAAGTTTGATTAGTCAAATCAAGAGGTGTATTTAAGACCGATAATAGTTCGGAGATAAAATTAAATGATATAGAAGAAACAATTCCCATTATTCAGGATAAATGCCAACATATAAATACCTCATCAATAATCCTCATCTGTTTTCTGCAAGAAGCCTACTAAGTGTCTTTTTTTTTTCTCAATCTTCCTAAGTTTTCGGAGAATCAATAGTATTTTCACTTACCTTTCATTATGATTCTAACCCTTAAATCTATCGGTAGATGATAGAGATGTTGAATCACTTGAGTAAGCTTTGCTTGTCTTGTTTCACAACCTCTTGATTCAGTTTTATCCAATAATAAGGTAAGTGTGAAAAAATAAATGTGGGGAGGGGGGCACAACCAAGTAAAAATAAAGTTAAAAGGAGGTATTTGAACTCCGAAAAACACATTTGACCATAAAATTTAAAATTTTCAAGGATTTGAGAAACAACAAAAACGTGTTTCACTTTTTCACTCCAGACTACTTATAGAAAGTCAAACATAACTCCAATTTATATTCATGATCGAGCCGTACAACTTTCAAATTTCATTTTTTCACTTTGAAAATAAAATTTTCTTTTTTTAAATTTCACAATAAAACATGATCAAACGTCCACTGAGTATACAATTTAAAACGTACCAGGAAAGTGCTTCAAATGAATATATATGGAACCATCACTAACATTTAGCACACTATGGAAAAAGGCAACCCAAGATGAACTTAATATATGAGGATGATACAAACTAACCATTAAAAATAAGAAGAAAAAAACTTACAACAATGTTAAAAATAAAAACATAAAAATACAACAAATAGAGACACAATATCTATTTTCTCTTAATTCATGTATCTACAATTCTTCCTAATCTCTCCCTTATATCCAGTTAAAGGTGAAATATTTCCCATTTTAACCATAGATTTCGCAAACTGATCGAAGAAAATCTCATTATTTTCGGCATACAATTTCACCAATTCTAATGTTGCTTGATTCTTTGTCACAAGAATTTGATCTGAATTCAACAAACCCCTTGAAGCCAACAAGTTCTTGTAGTAATTGTTATCAAATTTTGTTGGTGTGACATAATCCAAGAAAAATAAATTTTGGTCACCACCAAATTTTGGGCACATAGTTCTCAATTCTGTAGCATATGATTGATCAAGTGTATAATCTGGTAAATTATTTCCTGATTGATTGTAGAGTCTTTGCTTGAAGCTAGTGCATCTTGCATTTCCAATGGTGTGGCTCCCTACAAGACAATTTTCGAGTCAGAATTTTTACTAAATTGAGGTTTAAAATTATAAAAAAGTAAACATACAAAAAAATCAAAAGAAATTCAACTTGTACTATATATACATAAAACTTGTTTGTGCCTCTTATTAACTATCGCAGGACCTCTTTTCCCCAAAGCAAAGAAAGAGGAGCAGAAACAAGAGGTAATTGTCCTCTCTTAACATTCAAAAAAAAATAAAATTAATCTTATATAGAAATATTATTTTTTTTGTTAAAGGAATTCATTCTATCCAGCTCCGTCCCTGATATGATAATTAGTTTAGTTAAAATCGAATGAAGAATTAAATTATATATGTATAACACATGGATAATAGAACAAAATTATACTAAAAAGGTTATTTGATTTGTGAACAATATTATATAGGGATTGTTGTACATACTAATAATTCATGGATTTTTTTAACATTTATGATGATTTTCTTTTTAAAAAATGTGATAACTTGGATATACATAATGTATAATCTAAAATATATGTTTGATTTTATATTGTAAAAATAAAATTATGTTCCAATTTTAACCTTGATCTTAGTTTAAAGTTGCAAGGACTTTGATAGAAGGAGAGTTTCGTTATTTGACTTGTTTTATCCAAGAATAAATAATCCTATAAATTGTTATTTCCCATTGGATATGGTATAAAGTTATACTATTTTTTCGATATAAATTATTCAAAATATTTGTAATTATCATTTAAATGTATAAAAGTTAAATTAGGACGAGTAAATTTTACCAGATAAAGTAACAAGGTCAACCAGATCAAGCCCTTTTAGCTTGAATTTAGTAAGAATAGTATCAAATGTGTTGTTAGGAGCAGGAATGTTATTGTTGGAGCCACTTATACTAGCATCTCTTGAGTCTCTTCTTCCTAATGGAACCTCCCAGCTTGGTCCACCAGCCTGCATAAATAATAATCGAGTTTAAATTTTATATACTGATAATATAAATTAAGAATTATCTCATAATCTTATCAAGATAATAACTACAATTATATAGGATATAATTTTTTTTAACTTAATTGAAATCGAACAGATCATGATATTTTATAAAATATGGGAATAGTTTATCCTGTTATTTTAATACAAAATGTATTTCATTGACTTATTAACACTCATCAACGAGAGATAAAATAGTCTCGCTAGTATTATTTTTGAACTTACCTGCAAGAATTCATAGCTCGTCTTAACTACTGAATTTATAACTATATATTTATGCATACTTAAAAGGTTTTCTAATAAAAAAATAAAATTTAAACAAACTTTATTGAGCTCATCGAAATTGAAATCTTTTGGTTAGGTTACTTTTTTTTGCTAGGTTTAAAGTCGTTGTACTTACTAAAACAGTAGAATCCCTTGCAGCAAGGGCCAATATATCAGCACAAGAGACGGTTTGAGGGCATTCCATTTCAAGTGCAGATTTAATTTCATCGATTACTTCAAATCCACGTGCTGAATTTCTATTGGTGTTTGATAATTTTTCACTTATTATTGGTCCATTGCTGTCCAGAAGCAATGATACATCACACCCCTACATGATCATAAAATAAAAAAAATATTATAGTTAGTTAATCCGTCTGAGTTAACTTATTGAAAATAACTGATAAAATAATAAAAAGAAATAGTTAAATTAAAAACATTTATAAGTTAGAAAAGTCATAAATCGAGAATGATTGACTTATGATTTTTTGGTTAATTGAAAACTCAAACTATATTTATAATATAATTTGACCAGCTTATAAATTTTGGCTAAACACTTATACTTTTTAGGAATTGTTTTTCTAGAATTTAGCTAGAGAGTGAAAAATAACTTTTTTCTTAAAATAATAGTATCAAAGATTGATGATAATAGTAATAACAAACTACATTGTGTTTGATGGAACTTTTGAATATTAATTACTAAAAATAGTTTGTGATTTGAAGTAAAGAAAAAAAGATAATTGCTAAGTGAGGTAAGTCATATTTTCCTTCTTTTTTTTTTTACAAAAATTTATGGAAAGTATTTTCGTAAAACATAATTTCAGACAATCAAATAACGGAAAATAATTAAGTCATTAAGGAATTGTATGATTCATGAAAAAGTAACAGTATCTACTCAAACACCACAGTGAAAATATGTTGAATCAAGAACGTACAAATATGCTTTTCAAGAGACGAAAAATGATTTACCTTGACAAAGCAATCGTGAAAATGAAGCCTAAGCAAAGAGGCAGCCATTCGAGCTTCTCTAGTTACAGCCTTAGCAACAACAGACTTGACAATTTCTTTTGCATTTGGGCATGACCAATCATAAAATTGTGGATATAGGTAACCATAATAATTGGTTTTGCTAGATAAACATAATGTTGGTGAAAAAACAAGAAGAGATGTGACCATGATGAATAAACTCAATATTTTAGCCATGATGAGTCAAATTCTAATAAAGACTTTGTTATTGAAGAAATTGTTGTATGCAAAGAAGGTTGATTAGTTGTGATGAAATTGAGATAAATTGTATGAGTATATATAGTGTATAATGAGCACTAGATGGATTTGGTAGCTTTTAAGTAAGGATTAGTATAACTAATACGATTAAGTAACACTTTTTACCTAATGATGAAATTGTTTCAATACACTATCACGATCAGTGGGTAAGACTGTTTCTTCTTTAATAATTAGAAGTTTTTCAGAGTCTGAATATGAAAAATTCTTTGGTAGGGAGCGCTTTCTTACAACTAGAACCCTATGCTGGGTAAATTCAAATTAATCAAGCTTAAATAATATTGGACACCAAATGGGAAAAAATATTGTTCCCAATACATGTCAATTTGAATGATTTTGAGTGTATAAAAATCCACATAAAAATGTAAAATTAAATTATTTTCAAATTTGAAGTGCATTATTTCTTTTAAAACGAGCTAAAAAAATGTGTAACACAAATTGCACGGAGGACAAACTATTTTTTAATGCATTCCAAATGTTGATCATGATTCCTAATTGTTGAAGAATACAATTTTTAAAGCATTTAGAATCTGTTGTAGTAAACAAATTACTTATTTTTCTTGCTATAAAATTTATTTCTTATGACTACAATCTATTATTATTTTTTTAGTTGACTTGACGGTAAGTATATAAAAGCTAAAACACATTTTTTTAATAAAAAGAATTAAATGAAACATGAGAATATTATAAGTTGATATGGTCAACCAATCATTCAATAGTGTTTTTGGTTACGGAATAAAGGCATATCTATGACTAGCTCAAATATATTATTTCATAAATAGGCTTTACGTGACGTGAATTAACGATAATCAGAGTTTTAATAAAAGTATTATAAATTTATAAATATTTACTAAGTTTCTAAATATGTACATAAAATTTATAGAAAAAAATGGATTTATGTGAATTGGAACTCCTAGATTCGTCCCGAATTTGAACGTGGAAACATTCATGATTTTTTAAAAATTATTTTTGTGATTACTTTTCTTTTTGGGTAAAAAAAGAAAGAAAATTCTTTTTGTCCGAAATAATATTTTTCTTATGTTATTTCACCTTTTAAAATATTTGTATCTTTTTAATTTTAATATCTTTTAACAAAAAAATGAAAAAAAGATCAATTTATTTTAAAATAGACAAATATTATAGTTTTTTAAATTTTTTGACAAAATTCTAATCAAATTTTCTGGCAATTTAGCGAAGAATTTGACAATCAGAACTCATTCACATAAAATAATGGGAGTAAATTAAAATAACCTATTCTGATCTATTTAAGAAAAGTTCTATACAATTTGATAGAGTAACTTGCTGATTAACCTAGACTTACAAAAACATCCCAAAATGCAGGTGTCAAAAAATTTAAAAAGATAATTTATTAATCAAGTTTTAATATAACTAGTATTTATACATATTAAGAGATGATGACAATCTTAACACAAACACATAATTTTGATCAAAATTACTGAATTCTGACGTTTAACCAAATAGCATTCTCTATAGCTTCGTCCCTGATTAAATAATCATATTAACTTGTTATATTCAACTAAATTAAATTGATTATGTAAAAATCTGATGAACTTTTAAAAAATTTATAATGTGGAGTGCTTGATTGTTCAAAGTGACTTAGCTTAAATTCTAGGGGGAAAAAGCAAATATTAGTTCAACTAAAACAAGATATATATATATATATATATATATATATATATATATATATATTACTTACTACTAATAATAATATA